AGCTCACCCTAAGTGGAAGGAGGCTATGTGTAAGAAGATAAGGATAATTAGATGGTAAACCGTAAACCTTCCCAAAGGAAAGAAGTCAGTTGGCTGCAAATGGGTTTACACAATAAAGCACAAAGCTGATGGTGCCATTGACAAGTACAAAGCGAGACTAGCTGCCAAGGAGTTTACTCAAACTTATGGAATAGACTACCAGAAAACATTTTCTCCTGTAGCTAAAATGAATTCCGTTTGAGTACTTCTGTATTTAACGGTAACTTGGAGTGACCTTTGCATCAGTTAGATGTCAAGAATGCATCCCTTCATGGGGAATTACAGGAAGATATGTATATAATACCTCCACCTAGGTTTCTTGCACCTGAATGTGAAGGGATAGTGTGTAGACTGAGAAAGGCCATCTATGGACTAAAGCAATCTCCTTAGGCTTGGTTTGAGAGTTTCAGTGGGGCTGTCCAAAAGAATCAAGTATACTCGAAGTCATGCTGACCATACTTTATTATTAGACATACCAAGACCAACACCACAGTCCTAATTGTATATATAGATGATATTGCTGTAGGTAATTGTCCTAAGGAAAGTCGGCAACTTAAGACTTTTTTGGTAAGAGAATTTGAAATCAAAGATCTAGGCCCACCGAAGTTCTTTTTTGGAATAGAAGTAGCCAGGTCAAAAGGAGGAATTTTCATCTCTCAGTGGAAGTATATATTGGATCTACTTGAGGAAATTGGAAAGCTTGGGGCAAAACAAGCTTGATGATACAAGGGGAGAAGCTCTCAAGGATGTGGGTATGTTTCAAAGTTTAGTGGTCGACTAATATACCTTTCGCTTAAACATCCAAACATTGCATATGTTGTTTAATGTGATTTGTCAGTTTATGCATTCCCCACAAACCATCCACCTTGAGGTTGCTTGTCAAATACTCAGGTACCTAAAATTATCACCCGGGAGAGGGTTGTTGTTTGTTAATCATGGGCATTTATGAGTTTAAGCCTATATAGATGCAGACTGGGCTGGTTCTATACTTCTATTATAGATCAAAGATCAACATCGGGGTACTGTACTTTTGTTGGAGGGAATCGTGTGACTTGGAAGAGTAAAAATCAATCAATAGTAACAAGATCAAGTGCGGAAATTGAGTATAGATCCATGGCTCATGGCTCATGTTTCATGTGAATTACTTTGGCTAAAAATTCTCTCACGAGAACTTGGTTCAATGTTTTGTACTGTGACAACAAGGCAGCCATCAATATAGCCCAAAATCTGGTCCAACATGATAGATTGAAGCATATAGAAGTGGATCATCATTTCATTTGAGAAAGGGTTGCTACCAAGGAAATTTTTCTTCCATATGTTAAAACTGAAGACCAGCTAGCATAAATTCTTACCAAAATTGTGGGAAAACCTCGACTAAAAATGATTTTAAGCAAACTGAGCATGATAGATATCCATGCACCAACTTGAGGAGTGTTGTGAATAATTAAATTTTTCCTCTATGTTTTTTAGTTTGTCCCTGCAAACAGTTTTATCGTTTCCCTTACGTAAGGGATATTTTTGTACTTTCATTTTTTTTATTGCTAATAAACATACATAAAAGTGGGGCGTGGGGCTCAAGTAGACACCACATGACTCTCTTTTCTTCCCCTCTTTATCACATTAATCTCTCTCATCTCTCTGATCTCTCTATCGGTCTCCAACCTTCTCTCTCCTAATTCTTGATCTTCCTTACACTTTGTGATTCTCAGCCAACTAGAGTGATGTATTTTAACATAGTAGAATGGTGATATCTTCTCCATTACATTGAATAAATTATGAGTGATCCAATGGGGTTCTCTAAAAGTCATACTAATTACTTTAGAACTATCCAACCAAGCTCATGAAGCCTTCTTCAAGCCACACATCTCTCGATTTAATCGGTTTCATATATACTTCTTTCAGGTCCCCATTTAGGAATGCATTTTTAACATCAATCTGGAATTTCTCCCAATCATCGGCTAATGCAAGGGATAAAATAACTCTAACTGTGCCCATTTTGACTACAGGATTAAATGTTTCATCATAGTCTAGCTTGCAGCCAACCCCAAATAATTAGGATAAGTTTTGGATGATGATGATGATGATGGTCTAGCTTGTATTCTTGATTATATCCCTTTGCAAACTAGTCTTGCTTTGAACTTCAAAATGACTATCTGCCTTATACTTCATTTTATACACCCAATTCAACCCCACAACATTCTTTCCATTGGGCCTTGAGACTATCACCAGTATTCGTGGAAGGTAACTGATTAATAACACGCATCACAGTGTTAAAAGCCTCACTCGCAATAGGTTTGGGGACTCCCCTGGCATGCATTATACATAGGGTTGCCTCTCTTATATGTCGATGTTTGCTTTCCACTACACCATTTTCTTGTGGCTTATGAAAGCTCTTGCTCAATTTCATTTTTGGAGAGGAAGTCTTAAAGTTTAGAAAGACACGAGGCTTCTTTTCTTTCGATACAATTTCTCGAGGATGAAAGTTTCTCGATAAAGTACAGGTGCCCTTTCCGTTTTCCCTCAGGGAGTGTTGCCCTTCAGGCAAAGATCCTTCAAAAACACAGAGTTAGGAGCAAATACAGAGAAACACTTCAAATCATCAGATAATTGAGACAAGGTAAAAAGATTTCATTGAAATTTTAGAACCCAAAAAAGAAAAGTTAGGAAAAGAAAATGAACCAAAAGAGAGGAGAACAGTATTTCCAATGCCAACGATGGGGAGTAGAGTGGCATCCCTTGTACTGACTTTCCCTATCAGCATCAAACGTCACATGATTGGTAGCCCATGTATCTATAATTCAACAGCATTTGAGGGCAGTGGTAAGGAAGCTGTTCGGGGTTGTGATATGCTCAAATTGGCAACTGAATGTCTTAAGGCAGCGGAATTACTTTGAAACATTGATCATATCTAGAAAATAGAGGAAGGCAGTGTGCTTCCTTTTTCCGTAGAAAGCTAACATGTAATGGGGTTGTTGGTTGGCATAGGCATGCTAAAAGGGCAACGGTAAAATTCTTCGAGTAATGTCCTTGTGACTGATTGTTGCAACTTGTGACTAACATATCCTAGATCTCCATAATGCTGGTTAAGTGGACAGAATCGACAGTGTCCATAGCTGCAGTTGTTTCTTCCCCTTCCACTGCATCTAATAGAAAGGTTAAGAGTAATAAGAATTAACATTAAGGCATCATGATTCTCTTCCTTTACCTTCAACAGATTTTCTTGAACACGGCTGCTGCAGTAAGAGAGGGCAAAGCTCATTGAAACCAAGGGTAAATGGTCTACGCATAACCAATGTGACAAACATGTCCTACCCTTCACTCAATCCTCCGAGAAAGTAGAGAACCTATCATCACTAACCTCATAGCCAATGGCCACTACTTGGTCACGAAGTCCATTCACCTCGTTGAAGCACACGCTATCTCTCTCTTACAGTTTGGAGTTGACGGAGAATATGCATCACCCTTGCCTTAGATGATTGAGAATAAAGTTCGTGGAGAAGATCTCATAGTTGTTTGGCTGACCAAACACCTACCACTTGAGACGAAATGTCTTGGGAAAGAGTGGAACTTAGCCAACCAATTAAGGACTAGTCTAAAGCAAACAAATTCTCATAATCAAAGTTGGAGACTGGTTTCATCTCTTTCGTGCGATCTTTAAGTATAATCACTTTCTAATGAGTGTTGGGGAAGAAGGCAAGGTTCCATCAAGATGTTCCATCAGTTTTAAGCCACTCTAGATTGCAACAGTTTTGCACTTCCAGAATATGAAGTTGTTAGAATCCAATTTAATAAAGACCATATGCGGGAGCGTGTTGAATGATGGAACGGGATTCCTCTAGCCAACAGAGATTTCCAGAGTTAGGTTTTTCTAAGAATTAGGTCACTCGTTGGGTCATGGGGTTTCTTGTCTATTCTCTTATATTTAAGATAACGAACTCCATAATTAAGTAGGAGAATGAGGGAAGAGAAAAAATATCAGTTATGAAAGAGAAGAACAAAGGAGTTGGTGTGAGATGAAGTGAAGAAAGTATATGAAGTGGCAAGATCTAATTTGTGAGTTTAAGACAATCAAAAGGAGAAGTCTTGAGTTCCACTCCTACTATGGGAAGGGAAACGATGTCCCGCTGATCTACACCCAAAAGAAAAAAGGGTGAAATTAGGATCAATAAAGTCTGAAGTACCAAGATATTTCAGATTTGATTTCGAAAGAATAATGAATAAGATGGAATAACATTGATTAAAAGCAAAGAGATTGAGATGTTATAGGGGAGAGTAGGGTTTGTAAAAGAGAGATGGGAATAAAATTAGAATCAAGAAAGAAGGATAAGGTTAAGAAATGATGTCGAAGATATTAGAGTTTGAGAAGTGAGCTAAAATCAAGAAGGGAAAATAGATTAGCGTTTGATATTCAAGAAAAGAAGGAAATAGAATTAGGGTTAGATCTCACCTTTCAATGAAAGCCTCTTGGATTGATCTCTAACTTTTTCTCTGTTACAATAATTCAAGAAGGAAAGAAAAAGGAAAAAATATGCGCGAGTAGAGATTGGGTGAATGAGTGGATCATCCAAGACTCATTTTAGTCAGGAGATCCTTATATTTGTCCAAAAGGTTGGATCGTCCAAGACTCATTGTAGTTAGGACTTAGGACATCCTTATATTTGTCCAAAAAGTTAACAATATAATATTATTAACACAAGCCTAATTAATTCCTACATGCATGCTTAGGGGGAGGGCAATGCTGTGGCAGAAAACCTAGCTAAAGATGGCGTCACAAGAGCAAGCCTCAATATTTGCAGTCCCTCCTCCTAAGGAGTCTTTCACAGCTCTAAAGTTTTGTACAAACCCCTTTCTAACACCCTATGACACACCAAGTGTAAGTTTCATCAAATATTCAATACCAATACAATGTTATTTCATTGCAATAATTCATTAACAATGCTTTCACATTAACAATAACTTACCCCTAACATCATATTAGAAAGAGTCGAATGCCTGTATACAATCAAATCATCATGAGAACGATCCTGGAAGAGATCTGAAAATAGAAGGAGATATAAAGCGCCAATGGATACAATGATTGCATGCGCTGTAGAGATACCCCTGCATGATAAAATTTATCGAGTCCTTTTACAAGATCTCAAAATGAAAGAAAAGAAGTAACTTCCATGTTTAGAAACTAAATATTACCGGTTACACCATTCAATCTTCTGTGAATCCCTTAGTTTGCCATATGCCTTGAAGAAAAGCAAGCTGATTTGATTTGTAATCTCATATACCTTAAAAGTAAATAAGGAACACTGATTAACCACAAGAAACTCCTGAAATGACTGATGGTATCCATAAAATTTCTAGAACAAGGTAATAAACCTCAATCTAATTTGGCCCAATTAAAAAATCAGGCATTATGGCATGTACATGCAAATAAAGGAAGACACGCGTTAATGTATTCTATATTTTCTTAAAAGAAGATGGAAATCAATTATCCAATAAGATATCTAGCTATAGGCTTACAAGGACTACCTACACATTGTCAACTAGATAACCAGATAGACTAACAATCGTGAGCCTAACCACATTTTGGTTCAAATGCTATAGCTGTCAAAACGTTAACAAATTTATCCAAGGTCTTAGTCAAGACATCATAAATACGATTTCAAGGCGACAAGTTAAGAAGTTAAGAATACTAGATGCTCATCCGAAGAGAGAGCCCTCAATCACCAGGGACAAATAAAATTGATTGTAAACCCAATCTTGGTAGTAGATGATGCAAAAAGAGTCTGGGAAATTAAATCCAGCCTTCTTTCGATCTTAAACAAACAAAATTCAACAATACTGGAGGGGAAAATATGGCAGTAAATCAAGCCAAGTGAAGTAGAAGCTATCTTTCTTCATTCATAAACAAACTCCCTGTAAAAATATTCAAGTCTCCCTCAATAGGGCGTCCCACTCCCTTTTTGTACAAGCATCAAGCAATGAAAATAAAATAAAACTGAAAGGATATACATCTTTCTATCCCACTATAAAACTTTTAGGAAATATTCCTCATCTTTAAATTACGTACCTACATATTTACTCAATCCCTAACTCTTCTATTTTCTCTCTCCTTAGATCCACTTTTCTAGGATCTCTCTCCCAAGTCCCAACCCCACGTCTCTCTCTCTCTAACTCACATCACCCACAATGTCCTCCAAATCTCATAATTCCCATGAATGTAGGAGTTACCCTTCTCTCTAACTCACGTCAACTACAATCTCCCCCAAATCTCATAATTCCCATGAATGTAGGAGTCATCCTTTTAACTCACGCCCTAATCTCTCTCATGCAACTCCAAAGCTACTCTAACAAATAAAATCCTAACGAACTAAAGAGCCACATTTATCCTAAAAGTAATTAGAAACTTTCTAACTACCCACCACAATTAATAAAACTCCTTTTAACAACTTCATTTATAACTCCTAAAATTACCCCAATAAAAGATAAAACAAACTACCCATATCCCTAAAAATAAAAGTTAAATAAATAAATAAATAAATTCTTACAAGTCTCGATGCAGTTTGCATCATACTCCCCCAGTTGGAAAAAAAACTAGTCTCAAGTTTTTGTTGCGGCATCATCAACTTCCCTTAGCTGATGATGAAGTCCAACATCTCCACGTAAATGTTCTTTGTAAGGTATGAAGCTGAACTTCTGGGATGCACCTTTTGATGGTCCTCCATTCGGCATGTATGCTGCAAAACAAATTGCTAATTGAGGGATCAAAATCAGCCTTCCTTGTGGAAGAAGAAGCATTGTTTCCAACCAAAGAAGTTTGATTCATGATTGAAGAAGCTTTCTCCCATGTCTGGTCTTGAAAGAACTGCCATGGAAATAAGCAAATACCAACTGACTCCATGATTTCAGCATAAGTTGCAAACTTTACTGAGTCTCAAAAATCTTCCAGAAAGTGAGGTTCAAACATCATACAAACCATTAGCAACTTCCAATTGCAAATTCAAATAATAAAGACCCAAGCTGTATAAGTCATTTCATAAGTACCAGCATCTTTGGCTCTCACATAAACATAAGCTGCACTTAGTTTATTAGAAGACCCAACAGGATTCAAACATGGATCAACAAAAAGCTCGTACATTCTCACACTTGAAGCTACAAGCGTGTGACAAAACTTAAAGCAACTCCTTTACTGCCATCAAAGGATAAGCCAATTGTGAGAGACCAAGCCAATGTGGTTGAAGGCCAAGCCCTTGCCTTAAAACCCCATTTATTAGATAATTACAATTGTTGCCACTTTTGTTGAGTAAAATTTCAGTAGAAGACCATGCAGGCCCCAATAAAACAAATGTGTCTAACGCAAGTTAATATTCAAGCCATAAGCTTGAGCACCAAAGACTGAATTTCTTGGACTCAAGCATGCACATGCATTGAAAACAATAGGAAAAGCAAAATCACTTGATCTAAAACCATGACAAATCAAAAGAGGTAAGATTTTTACATCACGTCCAAACATACCTCCTTTGAGAATCCCACTCAAACCAACCTCACAAAAATATTTCCCACTATAATTCATAGAATCAAGCATCAAGCTTGTAGCAAGGAGCTTACCGACTTTGCAAAGGGGTGATTAAAGTGCATTGGCAATGCAAGGGTCACTAATGAATCCACACATCGTAGCTTTACCACATATTTTCTTAATAGCTATTATACTCTTTGTACCTCTGTTGCACCACTCTAATATGTAAGCACCAACAAGAGTAGAATAAGAAAGTCGAAAACCATGGGTCTTCATCTCCTTCAAAAGTTGTAACCATTATCAAAGAAACCTGAGAAAATTTGGCCATGAATTTTGAAATGAACTAAGATAAGTCATGTGTTCAACCCATTATTGAGGACATCATTATCAACTTCAAGGTGGACATTACTTATGTCAAAGATATTGTTAAGAAACCAAGCTGAAAACAACTTTAGTTCCTTGGTATGCAACTCCCATGGTCTCTCAAAATCAGAAAAGAAATTAAGAGAAACAATGTCTTTACTAGCATTGTCCTCAACATCGCTTTTATCTGTAGGTTGTCATATAGAGAGTAGAGCCACACCCTCCTCTTTCGAAGACTTGAGTGGAATCTCCTCACTCAATGACAACAAAGATGGTTCATATCTAATCATCAACATTGCGCTTTGATCACAAACCACTACCTCTACTTTCTCAACTAATCCGAAATCCTTTTTCATTGTAGTTAGGGGTTGCTCTTTCATGTTCACAAGGAGGGAATCATTTGAAAATCCAACATTGTCTTTAATAGAAATGATGTTAAAAGTTAACATTTCCTTCTGATCAATACAATGGAGAATTTCTTCATTATCAGACATAGAATCCTCCATACTTTCATCAATAAAAATGCCAGGCATATCCTCAATTATCTCTATTTTTTCAGCAGATTAATCTATAAATACGTCTACTCTTTTCTCATTAGATTTAGGACCCTTTGTGTCTTTGAAAGCATCAATCTCTCCTGTGGAAAACTTAGTATTTTCATTTATCAAGAAATCACATACCTTTCTCTGTTTATTTCTGTGATGCTCAGATTTTGTCGTAGGGACAACAACTCCCCAAGTTGGAGGCGTCAATCTCCTAACTTGGGATGCTCCAGCTCTAGTGGTCGATCTGGATGTAGGAAAATTCTTTCTTTGCTCGTCTCGACACTGATTTTGATCTACTCCCCTATGCCAATGACATCGGCTTTGGGGTTGTTGATCACCCAACTTTTCCATGCATTCATGCTCCCGTCAATGCCATCGTGCATCAAACCTATAAGTGTGATCAAGCATAACATCAGGCCGTTCCCACTCAGACTCGCGCTCTGATCTACGCTGATCTACAATAGAACTCGCACAATATGGATCGAACACCGTAGACCTCATTTTGTTCGATATGCGTTGTTGTAATCTTTCTTTTAACAACAACTTTTCAACCATCTCCATCAAGTTGTCGATTTTCTTGTGTATTTGGTCATGCTCAACATTCCTACAGTTGCGACCTCCGCAACCATCCATCGTAGTCGCTAACCCTTTTCAAACCATGCTCTGATACCAAATGATGCAAAAGGGGTCCACGAAATTAAATCCAGCCTTCTTTCGATCTTAAACAAGTAAAAATTCAACAATACTAGAGGGAAAAATATGGCTGTAAATCAAGCCATGAGAAGTGGAAGCTATCTTTCTTCAGTCATAAACAAACTATCTGAAAAACTATTCAAGTATCCCCCAATAGGGCTTCCCACTTCCTTTTTGTACAAGCATCAAGCAATGAAAATAAAATAAAATTGAAAAGATATCCATCTTTCTATCCCACTACAAAACTTTTAGGAAATATTTGCCATCTTTAAATTACACACCTACCTATTTACTCAATCTCTAACTCTTCTATTTTCTCTCTTCTTAGATCCACTTTTCTAGGATCTCTTTCCCAAGTCCCAACCCCACGTCTGTCTGTCTCTAACTCACGTCACCCACAATCTCCTCCAAATCTCATAATTCCCATGAATGTAGGAGTTACCCTCCTCTCTAACTCACGTCAACTATAATCTCCCCCAATCTCATAATTCCTATGAATGTAGGAGTTATCCTTTTAACTCACGCCCTCATCAAGTTTCTCTCTCATGTAACTCCAAAGCTAATCTAACAAATAAAATCCTAACCAACCAAAGAGCCACATTTATCCTAAAAGTAATTAGAAACTTTCTTAACTACCCACCACAATTAATAAAACTCCTTTTAACCCCTTCATTTATAACTCCTAAATTACCCCAATAAAAGATTAAAAAAACTACCCATATCCCTAAAAATCAAAGTTAAATAAATAAATAAATAAATGTGTGTTGAATTCTTGCAAGTCTCGATGCAATTTGCATCAGTAGACAAGCCACATGTAGTCCATTAAATTGGAAATCATGAAACATAAAACAAATGAAAGCTGAATACTTTCATCTTCATATACCATTAACTACCTATAAGAAATGGATCATCTTTTGCTGCAATAAACAAAAATTAATTTTAAGAGGGCACCAAGGGAGTATACCATGTTGTCTGAGTCTCTTACATATGCATAATAATGAGACCATCATGAGGTTTCGGTCATCATTCATCTCACCCAGTTGGATTCCCTGGAAAGCATCATCATCAGCCAGCTTTTAATACTTTCAAAGACACTACACTTCCAAACATCTAATGATGCTAATCTCACACCATCTTCAATTTATAATCATCTTGGCCCTCTGATTCTGTCGCCTCAAAAGGGTAAAGTGTTTGTTTTCCTATAACTTCTCCTTAACATTCGGATCTTTATACCTCTGAGTTATTAACACTCTCCTGTTATTCCTCAACAATGGTGATTTTGGTAATGGTCTAGAACCTTCATCAAGGATCTTCAAGGACAAGGAGCGAGAAGAATAATCAAGGATTCCAAACCCCACCTATGATAGTGCGGACCTTCCTGCTAATTTGAACCTTCTTTTGTTTCTAACTTTTCCAAGAATGTGTCTTCATTCATGCCCTCAGATTTATATAGAAGGCTAAGATGGACAGCCTAAGACAACACCTTAAATGCAAAAAACCCAAGACCAAAGTTCCCCAATATTGAATCATTGAGAGTATGCAAATAAATCAACAACATACACCAGCTCCAAACCAAGTTCTCTAGTAACCTCACACAGATGAACAAACTAAGGAAAAACACAATATCCTTTGCAGACTAATTTCCCAAGGCATCTATAGTCAGCATTATCATAGCAATCACCGTAAAACCCTATAATTAAACCCATTGAAGGTATCCCTTCATTGTCAAACATGGTAAAGGTTAAAGGGCAATAGAGATAAGGTGAGAAATGGAGGCGCAGAGCACCATCTGTCCGGCAGATAATAGGTCGTTGGACAATTATCGCTTACATATCACAGCAGACAGTTGAACTTCTTTTTCTGGCTAAACTGTTGGAGTTCCTCATGAAAAAGGGCACAATATAATCACATGCTTCTAGACAAGCTTCATCCCAGACCATTGAAGAGATTATAGCACACAATCTCAGCCATATGAAGTTCGGGAAGTCAAAGGAAGCCTTAACAAGCCCCGATCCTCTAGACTGTTTTAGACAATGGTGCATATGAATCCCCAAGCCCCCTTTTTTCAAGGTCTAAAGAGTCCCGAACACCTTAAATAGATTGTACTAAATCCCAAAGGAAACCATTTCCCAAACTGAAACCAACCCCTCAACCCCAAAAAAAAAGAAAAAAGAGAGACAGAAAGGGAAATTATCAAAATACAATGAGGAGATGAACTATCTATTTAACACTTCACTCAATTCGTTTGGTTTAATTTCATAATCCCATTAAAGAATACATGATCATGAGTGGGAATCGTTGAAAAAGGGTAATATCTTAAGTAGTTGATCTTCCATATGTGTTTTGATAAAGATCATGACAATGATAGCCCGGAGGGCTGAGAAAATGATTAATGATAAATCCTAATGTAACTTGCCAGTCATGACTGTTTTTTGCAGCATGCAAATTATAATATGGGGAAGAGACACAAACAGACATATAAGAAACACCAACTTTTAGAAGTGCGACAAACTAGAAAAGGATTATAAGATGTTATAATATACATCCTGACACAATCTTAGGAATGCTATCCAACATAGAGCAGTACCCCATAATCGAGAAGTTTAAGGGAGTCTGTACGCACCTTAAATGGCACAACCCTCTGCTAAGAAACATACGCTAACAATGTAGACTTTCAGCTTTTGCAACTTGACATATAAAAACAAATGCATACCAATACAGGAGAAAAATTGAATCCCTCTTAGGATGAAGATCCCAGAAAGATAACATATTGTCCAAGCAGTGGTGCAAAGCGGGGACCAGGTAGAGTCACCCCAGTCCTGAATAATAATAATATAATATCAGGAATGGCCAGACTCGGCTGGTTCCCATGGGTTTGATTCCAGACTTGGCAGTCTACAGAGTCTAAGTAACTTGGGCGAGTCTGAATCAGATTTTGATCCGCTAGATCCAAGCATACTAAAGTATAAATGGAACATTAAAATCTCACAAGTGAGGGAGTGTGGATTCGCACATCAAATACTTACAATTTTGCACATGAGGATGCCAGCAAAAACAGATAAAACCCAGGCAGTTTGATCGCTCAGTGTGTTCAATGTCCTTGTTCCTTGAAAATAAGACAAACCCTCCATTTTGCCTGTGGTAAAATAGTGGTGCTCAGAATTGCACGCAAAACACAAGCAAAGATTCATGAAAAATCAATCTAAGGCTTGAAGCAGTTGCCAAAGTGACAGTTTGGAGTACTGAGTTACAGTAAAGACCCAATTGTGGCATACATTAATCAATAGTGAAATAGCTAGTAGCCAGAAAACGAGAGTGAAATTAAAGACAATAAGAGAAGAACTAAGAAACCTCAAAGGAAATCTAACTGCATTTAGTGGTATAAGTTAAAGTGCAAAACAAGAAAATTGTCAGTAGAGGAGAAGAAATGAATTTTTTCAAACTATCATTCAGTGGAATTTACAATTGAAGAAGTAACAAATGTCCAACAACGTCGAACCATTTTAACCTCGTCCACTAATGAAACCCTAGAGTCCAGGATTAATACTTGGACCTCTCAGAACTCAATTCAAAACATAAAACCAAGACAAATAAGCATCTAACTGAGTGCAAAATAAGCAGCAAGGCTACTTCTATATCTGCACAAAATGGTATCCGAAAAACAACACTCAGAGCCATTTCAGAATTAAGACACAAGCTAAAAAATACATGAAAAATGAGTGCTCTTCATAACAAAAAGAAAAGAAAAGGTGAGGCTGAGAGAAGTAGATAGAAGAGAAAAAGGAAGCATTTAGTGTCGACGTGCTGATTCAAAGTAAAGAATAAAATAAGCATGTTGCTCAGGAGAAATCATAGTTACAGCCACTTAATAATCCATAAATCAAGAACAGGTATGAAGGGTATTTAACTTATTAGAGTAAAATTAGCTGAAAGCCTGAAACCCAATAGAGAAACATACGAAAAAGAAAAAGAAAGGGAGGATTAAAATCAAAGATAAGATAGTAAAGAGGCATGAGGCAAAAGGAAATTTCAGAAAAAAGGAGGTGTACCTTTGCTAGTTGCTTATTAGCAGCATAGCCGCTTGATTAATATTAAAGAATGCATCATGCATTCACAGCGGCGGAGGTAGTATGCATATTGTCACTTCACCGGATGGCGCCCCTCGCCCATGGGTGACGCGAAGTAACCGCTTACAAAATAAATAAAAACGTTATTATGCTATAGAAAATTAGAAATAAGGTGCACTTCAAATTTCAAAATCCCCCTACAAGGTTTTTCCGACGTTGAAAAACCTTTTCCCTGCATGATTGATTGCTAAGATCTTCAAAAATCTATCATCTCCCCATCAAGACACGTGGATATAATAATAAATAATATTTTAAATTCTAACAAAGGTATCTCTTACAATATATTATCCAAACTGCCCATTTTTAAAAGATTTAAATATGAGAAAAGTATATATATATATAAAGGATCAAATTTGAGCCTACCTCAAAAAGTTTACCAGAAAAAAAAACTGTTTTGATGCTCAAATATCTTCAAATTGATCATCTCGACATCAAGATGTATGTACATGAAAAATAAATGGATTTCAAATTTTGAAAATAATGTGTTTTGTAATGCATTTTTAAACCATTAATTTTCAAAGGTTTCAAGTTTTCATAAATATGTTTATCTACTCTATTTTTTAAGATTTGAGCTTTATAAATAACTATAAAAATATATTTTAAGGCTACCACAAAGATTTCAACAGTAAAACCACATTTCTCGATACAATTTGAAGGTAGGCTCTAATTTGATTGTTTAGAGCCTAGGCTCTATACATCTTTTCAATGCACAACCGTTCTCTTTTAAATTAGTTTGAAAATATATTTTAAGGAGATCCAAAACATCAAAACTGGAACAAGATCTAAGAAGTACACCCTACTTTATAATTTTAAACTTATGCCTTACGGAAACCACACGCAAATAATAATAATAATAATGTAAGCCCACGAAGAAAGAGATGAGAGTTCCATTCTACATTACCTTTGTTAGACCATTTACCTATACCAAGTTCTACAATAAGGGATCGGTGACCTAAATAGAAAACTCAAAAATCATGTCGGATCGATGGATTAGCGATCTGGATTGGAGAATCAGCTGGTTTTCGCCTAAAAAAATTCAAAAAATATATATATATAATTTCTCAAAAATCCAGTTTATTAGGTTTCTAAATTAAATAGCAGCTATTACATTATGATTTTTCATTATTGTGTCAAAAATATGTAAATATTGTGAACAAATCTCATGTTAAGTTTTTGTTGTCTATTAAATTTATATTATAATCAAAATAAAGTTAAAATACAACATGGCAATAAAATGAATATCTCTAACTCAATTTATTTACTTTATTACTATATTAACTTTGAAGTTTATTTTTGAAAGAAGCTATATGGAAAAAACTTAATGAAAATAGGAGAGAGAGAGAGAGAAGGAGAGAGAATCTTAGTGGAATCAAATTCAAAGTCCAAAATATAATGGAATTCATTCAACATAATGATATTAACGTAATTTTGATACAATCATACTCACATAATTATACTGACATGAGACTAACATAATTATATTAAGTTATATAATTATATAATTTTTTGTAAATTATTATATGTAATTTTATTTTTGTAATCATATGTAATTAAAATTTAATTATATGTATTTTATTTTTTACAATTTATAAAAAAGATAAATAAATATAATTCATCTAAAAAGATAAATAAATTTTCTTTTATAGAGCATTTCATTTTACAGAGTCCTTGTATAAGAGTCGGAGAGCAATCATTTTAGGGAAAATTGTAATAAAAAAATAAAAAAAAAAAACCCTCAAAAATGGACTTTCTAAGCAATTTACCCCCAACCTAACTTTTCTCAGCAACTTCCCTCAAAAAACCATGTTTCGTAGCAAATACCCCCAATACATAACAAATTATTTTCATTAGAGAGAGCGGTCCGGCATTTGGAAGAGGCAGTCCGGCGATTAGTTGCTGAAATGGGAGGTCAAGCGTTTCATTGTGGCGGTCCGAGGATTATGCTATTGGATAAATGGGCAGTCTGGTGTTTTGAAATAGCGGTCCGACGTTTTGAAGGGGCAGTCCGGCGTTTTGAAGAGGCAGTCCGACATTTTAAAGTGGTGGTACGGCATTTTGAAGAGGCAGTCTGACATTTTAAAGTGGCGGTCCAACGTTTTAAAGTGAGCAATCCGGCATTGTACAAGTATGGTCCGGCGTTTTCTTTTATTGGGATCCGAAAAATGATTTGTTATGTACGAGAAGGGTATTTTTGTAAAAAAATAAAAATAAACTTTTTGTATTGGGGGTATTTGCTAGGACACACGGTTTTTGGGAGTGAAATTACTAAAAAGAGTTAGGTTGAGGGTAAATTGATAAGAAAGCCCATTCGTTGGGGTTATATGCAAATTTCCCATCATTTTATACGTCCTTGTATACATGGGGCAAATAATTGTGGGAGAAAATGATGGTTCAAAAAGTTGAAACGCCCACATGCCAATCAATACACGCTTGCATGAGGTAAGCTTGCCCATCACGAGATATGTTTAGTGCATGTGAGTGGATTTGGTGGGGTCCGGATCATTCATATAGACCAAAAAGTAAAGTTGCACCCACACATTTTTAACTACATAAAGCCAATTCTACAGAGACGCTGTCGAATTCTCATATATTATGAGACCCAGATCCAAAGCAACTTGAACTCGTCAATTCTAGAGAGACACGGTCGGATGATATTATTACGAGACCCAGATCATTTAGGACGATTCGTAATCGCCCAATCTAGAACGCCTTGATCTATCTATTTATGTGGTTCATATTTTTTTAGAAAGTTGGCTTCCATTTTTATTTGTGACTGCATTCTTTGTGATGCTATTTGTATTGTTCACACCAAGATTTAAAAATTTGAGGAATCGCTCATACCACTTGGATCCCTCAATATATCGGGAGTCAGATAACTCCCCCTTGAACTGGCTAGATATCTGACAGAATGGTCCTATCATGAACCAGACTAAAGAGTAACTTTTTTTTTTTAGTGTCCCAACCTTGTGTGAGCTAAGCGACTTACAATTGCATTTGTACGCGTGGCTAATACTCATGTTCCTAAGCGCGCCTAAGGCTTTGCCTTAATGAATTCCCAATGTAGATCTTTTTTCTTCCATGTAGCTCGCTTTAAGTTCAATAGAATGTACTAGAGTTGAACTAAAATGGAGCTTGTCTTTTTCAAAGGAAAACATAGCTTGCCTTTTTCAAAAGAAAACGTAGCTTGCCTTTTTCAAAATAAAACATAGCTTACACTAAGTGTAAAACCCTATCCTATAATTGTTATAAATATTAATAATGCTATAACAAATATGATTATGAATTTAAAATCAATCCAAATGATTTTAAATTTAATATATAGTTAGCTATAATTGGCCATCTACTATGAAGGTTTTTCTTGCAGGTCCCACCTGGCAAAACGTTTTGGCTCTCCCCTGATCTTACATGACACACTAGGTTGAAAGAATATCCATAACTAATTTTTTAGGAAGAGATAGGAGACTCATTTTAGCACTTGAAACTTTTAGAAAGACAAATTTGCGAAAGTAATTTTTTTTCATTTTTGAAATAGATTTGTTAGGTAGCTCGTCGACCACATTTACATGTGGAACTATTGACTATCTCCCTATGGGTATTATAAAATCTCTTTTTTTCTTTTTTTATCGTTAACAGTAATTTCATTGAAAAAATGAGAAATTACAAGACAAAAAAAGAAAACAAAAGAGAAGAAAAAGAAGAACAGACAGGGGAGGAGAGAAAAGAAAAAGAGGAGAGGAAGAGAGAGGAGGGCTAGGAAGTAGCTAATCTTATGAGGGCATTAGCAATATCATTTATTTATCTGTTAATGTGGTAGAAATGGACATACTTGGCAGAGATAGCCAATAATATTTCATCCAAAATGTAGGTCCATTGCTAAGGAATGGAAGGAAGGTGGGTACACCATTTCATAACATTAGCTGGGTCTCCTTCAATAATAATACAAACGTGATCATTCTGCATCCGAGAGACTCCTTTGACCCCCCTCAATTATGTCTCGTTGATGTCACAAAAGGTTAGATCCCCCCAAATAGAAAAAGATAATATTCCCATTAGAATCCCTAATAATCCCACCCAAACCAGCTTTTTGAGTCTCGGATCTAACATTGCTATCAGAGTTTAACTGCAGCCAGCCAACTAGGGGAGCGATCCACTGAGGGGATTTAACCACTTTGTGTGGTTGATGTGCAAGTAACATTGCAAAATTGGTAGCAAATAACTCTTTTGGGTAGCTTTTGAAAATCGATGATGCTTGAGCCCAAAGAAGTATCAATTTCATCATCCCTCGAGAGATCTCATTGCAGCCGTGTGAGGCTCCCTCAAAAATCTATGAATTCCTTTCTTTCCATAAAGACCACAACACACAAAATACGCCAAAGATAAATACCAGTTTGGTAAACGGGGGATTGAGAACATATGCAAAACATTGAGGGATGTTTTTTAGCATAATCTATTGCCAATTAGAGAGTCTAAATGCCCAAATCCAAAAAATGCATACATAAGAAGGCTCAGACATGATTAGGAGATTTAATCTTCCCATCTTTGGTGTTCCTATTACTCAAGTCAAAAGAATGATCATGGCTAACCTCATGGTACAAGGATCTAATTGAAAAGCCGCCATTGGGAGTAAGTACTCAAACTAAAGAGTACAATCCATTAGGAAAAAAGCCAAAGGAGTGCAGTTGATACAATAAGACTAGAAACTGTTGCCACAGTTGCATCAATCCTTCTAACCTTGAGGTTGACCTTCCATAAACAGTTAAATTCCATATGCAGT